ACTCCAGGTGGACACCTTCAGCAATCAGGAGCTCCTCAGTTGCTCATAGTAAATTCCACCTTGGAGTTTACAAAGACTTATGGGTAGAAAAGCCATACAAAGTAATTTACTACACTGCAGTATTGCATTGTGTGTATGTACCATAGTTTGGTTATCCATTCCTCAGTGGATGGACACCTAGGTTGTTTCCATCTTTTAACTATTGTAAATAGTGCTGTGATGAACATGGGTGTGCATATGTCTGTTCTTATCATGGCTCTCACTTCTTTAGGATATATACCTAGTAATAGAATGGCTGGGTCAAATAGTATTTCTATTTCCAACTTTTTAAGGAGTCGCCATACTGCTTTCCACAATGGTTGTACCATTTTACAGTCCCACCAGCAGTGTATGAGAGTCCCAATCTGTCCACATCCTTGCCAGCATTTGTTATTCTGTGTCTTGTTGAATTTTACTACTAGTGCTGGAGCAAAATGGTATCTCGTTGTTTTGATTTGCATCTCTCTAATGGCTACTGAGGAGCTCTGGTAGCATAGTGCCTAAGGCACTTGACTGCTAACCAGAAGGCTGGCGGTTCAAACCCACCAGCCACTCCTCGGAAGGAAGGTTGGGCAATCCTATTTCCGTAGTGATACTGCCTCGGAAACCCAAGGAGGGGTCGCTATGAGTCAGGGCTGACTCGACGGCAAATAACAACATAACAACAATGGCTACTGATCATGAGCATTTCTTCATATGTTTGTTGACCACCTGAATATCCTCCTTGGTGAAGTGTCTGTTCATGTGTTCTGTCCATTTTTAATTGGATTATTTGTCTTTTTGTTATTGAGGTGTTGGAGTTTTCTGTAAATTCTAGAGATAAGTCCCTGGTCAGATATGTCATTGCCGAATATTCTTTCCCAATCTGTAGGTTCTCTTTTGGCGAAGTCTTTGGAAGCACATGAAAATTTAATTTTTAGAAGGTCCCATTCATATAGTTTCTCTTCTGCTATTTGTATATTTTGGGTTATGCTTGATAGTCTATTTATGCCATATATTAGGGCCCATAAATTTGCCCCTAGTTTTTTCTTGAGGAACTCTATAATTTTAAGTTTCACATTTAAGTCGTTGATCCATCTGGAGGTAGTCTTTGTTTATGTCTACCTGAATTTTTAAAACAATATTTTATATTATGATTTTTGACAAGCCAGCAGCTAATAAAGTAACAATAAACATCGATAACCTTCCTTTGGGAGCCCTGGTGGCACAACAGTAGAGTGCTCAGCTAACCAAGAGGTTGGTGGTTCAAACCCACCCAGCAGCTAGGAGAAAGACCTGGTGCTCCGTTCCCATATAGATGACAACCAAGAAAACTCTATGGGGCAGTTCCACCCTGTCACGTGGGGTCGCTGTGAGTCACAGTCGACTCACCAATGCCCAACAACACCAAATCTTTGAAAAGTCCATTTCTGCTCTTTGTGTTTTCTTTACATAGTGGGACTAGCACTTAACTCACCATGTCCCTGGGCACGTTGTTCTGAAATTTGACATCAAGGTTTTTTTCAGAGTTACACCCTAGGACTTCTTCATATTTGAGGGAGAATAGGAAAAGGAAAACAGTTTCTATATTAGCAATTATTCATTGTTTCTGAAGTTTTATGTCAAATTAGCCATAAAGTGTTTGTAGGTATTGGTTATTACTTGAATGTGAGTTACTGATTTCAGAAGAAATATTTTGAGATCTGATAAAAGCTCAGTAATTTTAGGAATATGTAATTTATTGTTGGTTTACTGTCTACATCTTATATGGGTGATCTAAAATGCAATCTAATTGTGGGTATTAGAATAGAATAAAGAAATATAATAGTTAGAGAACAAAATTTTAATACAGTAAGACTAAGAAAGCCAGAACCTGTGTCAGGCAGAAACCTGTCAAAGAAGGAAAACTCAAATACTTTCCACTAATAAAGAACATGAAAAAGTGGTAAGACTATACCTGTCAAAGGCAGAAAACTAGTAAGACCCAGAAAAACAGAGCGGTCCTGCCAAGTCCTGGCTCTCACAGGTCTCACCGTATTGAGCAAGGACATTGAGAATCAAACCAAAGACGTATTGAGAGCATAAGCCGCATTGGAGTCAGCTTAATTTGGGGTTTTGTACATCCGTTTGGGAAACATCTGCTGTGTTCCAATACCTTCCCTGTTGCAGGCTTCGTGCTAAGCGCAGTGGCTCAAATTCAGAGATGACTAAAGCAGTAGTTTCTGCCTATTTGAACTTCATCATCTAGTAAGGGAGAGAAACATGCAAATGATCATATCCAGTATAATGAAAAATAACTCTATCTTTCAAGATCTTTTTTTCCCAGCATGTTCTTGAACCTTGGTGAAAATACAAAATAGAAACATCCTAATGTTTTTTGGCTTTTTGTGGGAATGCGATATCGTGGGGGGACATTAGGTCTTACCCCATAGGATGTTTGGTGATCTCTCTGGTTATTCTTGGAGAGAGATGTCTGATGGGTGGCTGAGATGAGTTCTGCTGAGAATTTTGGGAGCCCCTAAGTAGGCCTCTCAGGCCTAAGTGCAAGGAGAAGGGAAAGCTTGAGATGTATTTGTATTTGAGTTTTCCTCTGCACACTTTGTTCCATATGTTTGTGGAATGACAGCCAGCGAGAGCTGTGTGATAGAAGTTTCTCTGTTGTTTTGTGTTTTTGAGAAACCGATGTGTTTCTTTTATGCATCTGTTTCGGATCCCAGAGGTGGCTGGGGCAGTGTTCCCTCATCTTTGTCTGGAATAGTCCCCTCTGTTGGGAACCAGGTTC